GGCACTTTTGTGTGCCCCATTACATGCTTTTGTACAGCCAAAAGCTTGTTGATTCAGAATTAAATGCATATTATGCCGAATTGAAATAAGTATGTTGTCTCGTAATTTCTCATTTCAAAGTTGAATTATCATTTTGGGTAGAAATATTTTTCATTTTCTTTTTAGGGGGAATTTTAATTTTAAATCTTTTGTTAGGGTACAATCAAGTCTTTTAACTCCTAATTCTATGCATATAAAGCTGGAATTGTATTAACGTTTTTTCGTTTCTCATAGTTCATCATTGGAAAAATGAAATATCATTTTACGTAAAAGTATATTTTCTTTTTTTTTCTTTATTTCTGGAGAAAAAACTGATTAAGGGGACCCTTCGTCCCAAAACTTTGCGACAGGAGCCCCGGTTTGTACACTAAAAAGTTTAACTCAGAATATTATGCAAATGCATTCGGTGAAAGATCTCGCTCCCTATAGTTAACTAAATTACGACGCACTTACGTAGCTACAGACTCATTCATTTAAATAAAATTATAAATATTTTATTCATAATGTCAAGAATGAAACAAATAAAGATGAAAGATGTTTTAAAACTATATTAGTTTTTTCAAATGTTTTTTTTTAGTTCAAAAAGGCATGTAGCTCAAGGGCTCAACCCTCAAGGAAGGTGGTGATTACATTTTCAGGTCTTTGGCCAGTTCGACGGTGACCATCCTGAGAAATGGCATTCAGGTAAATAAAATTGTATCTCTTTTGTAACACTTTAGTTCATGAAACACATTAGGGGTTGCAAACTTGTCCTTCAGTGCCTAGTTAAAAAAAAAAGAGAGATTTCTAAATTGAGATCTTGATATAAAAAGCTTGTTATTAAAAATTTTAAAACTAAACCTGTGAAATTTCTTTGAAGTTTTCGAAAACAAGACTGAGGTAAAAAATATTGAAAAGGTTATTAATAAAAAAAGTTTGAATTGGATACCTAGAACTTTAAAAATTATCTTCTTCAGTTGAAAAGCAATAACTTTAGGTTCATTTATAATGAACATAGCATAAATTGTTGATTCGTGTAAGTATTAGGTATAAAATCATTCGCATAAATATTTCTTATTATTGCATTTGATATTTCCTGGTTTTAATTAGAATTCTAATCTTGTTAAGTGATTAATATCTTAACTGTAATTACCTACATACTATATAGTAGCACTTTATAGCACAAAACTTGAAAATGGAGTCTTTAGGGTTTATAGAATTTTGTTTTATAGATCTTCTACAGTAAAAGTTTTTTATTTTTATTATTTTTTTTAAACTTTCTACCAGCCAACAGCAAATATCAAGCTGCCTGAAATCCTTTTTGTTAGTAAAATTTTAAACCTAATATTTAGACCATTTATTTTTTATTTCGACTTTTTAAAAATAAAAAAAAATCTTTTGATTTAATAATAGCATAACTATTATTTTGTCAAGAAATAAAGGGTTGTAATTTTGTAAATATATTTTCATTTCAATTTATAAATATATTATATATTTCATACACTGTGCACACATAGACTAATTGTGTCCACTTAGTCTAAAGCTATTCTTATTTTCCTTGGTGGAAGAACTTTTTAAAATTCGCTACACACAAAATAGTCTTAATTCTTTATCAAGTTCTTATTTATTTCACATCCTTTGCCAGATTTTGCAATTTTATCATACTATGTTTAAAAACTTAAAAAATTATGTTGAAAACTTAATTTGAGAAAATTTGTTTTTAGATTGCTTTTGGCTGCCAGATGCTCTTCTGCTGCCACCAAATATTTTCACGAATGTTTCAAAATCAATCAAATCAATCAAAGAACTTTACAATGAAAGAGATAGTGAAAAAGTAGGTTTTCTTTTAATTTTGTTGTATAGTCAAATTCTTTTATTACAACACATGATTATTTTTATAATTATAGTGTTTAACAGTTGTTTTAGTATGTACTTGGTATTTAATATTTTATAATTATATAATAATTTCACATTTTTTTAAATGTAGGCTAAATATGATTATGAAAAGATAAAAATGCAAGAAACTATTTCCCAGTTGGCAAAACTTACTGATTTTCTCCAAGAGAAAACTGAGAATATGGAAAAGAAAAAAAAGGGTAAGTCAAGACTTTTTAAAAATACTGTGTTGTACTTTAATTATGTGGACTGTATTGAGTAAAAATTTTACATTTCTTAAGAGTATACCGGAAGTTGTTTATGTGATCCATAGAAAAAAAATTTGTATCCTGGGAGCATTTTAAAAGAAAAACATTTTTAAAAATACACCCAGTATTCAAATTGATGAAGTACCCATAGAACCAAAAAATAAAATATTGATGAAAAGTTACTTCATTTTAGCCTATTGCTCGATTGTTTGAGAAGAAAGATGCACCTCAACAACTTCCACAAAGCAGAGATTTGGAAAAAATGTTCGAAACTGAAAGAAGTCGTTGTCGAAGGCTGCAAGATCAATTGAGTCAAGCTAGAGCAGAAAAAATGTCATTGCAGAGACAGAGTATGTGAAGAATTGAGTATATTTTATTTGATCTGTATCTATTTTGCCATTATTACATAGTTTGTAACTCTCATTATTCCTTAAAAGGACTTCTTATATTTAATGTTATTGCTTAAAAAAATTAGATATCTCCCTATTTTTTTAAAAGTACGAAATTTTTCTAAAAGAATTTTTTTTCTTCATATTTAACAAAATTCCTTTAGAAGGAAAAAAAAATATTTTGCACAAAATAAGTTAACTGCAAGTAAATTTTTCACCATTTAAAATGTATTTAAATAATTTTTTAATATTAATTATGTATTGATAACATTGTTTTAATTTTAATTCACAATTTTTATTTTAAAGTTTGGATACTTTTCAGTTGCCCAGGTGCAAGTAAAAAGTCACAAAAAAATAGACCTCTGTCAACTTTTTATTTTATTTTATTTAATTTTTTAAACAGATAGAAATTAAATAAAATAAAAAAAGCAAAATGAAAAATTACAAAAAAATGTCGAATTTCCTTGTGCCCAGCTGACCAAAAAGTAATAAATTTTATTTTAAAAATGATACTATGACAAACATTTCTTATTAGAATGGGAAATGTATTAAAAGAATGAAATTCTTTGTTTAATTTCACTAATGAAATGCTTATAGTGAAAAATTATGCTCTGAAAATTCCTTATATTTATCACGAGATTTGCAATTGTAAAAAGTTCCCTAATTTTTTGCTGTTAAAATATTTATTACTTTTGTGTATTTTAACCTGTAAAATTTTTTATAAAGCTTCCTTTCTTTAACTACATGTTTTTGTGGAAAAGAATTTACAGTTAGAAATTGTTTTGGAAATGCCATAATCTTCTGTAAATTTGTTAGCATCTATTATCTTTTGTCTTATGAATTGCAAGCATCTATATGTCTTATGAATTGCAAGCATAATAATGCACAAGATTATATATAGAGTGTTCAAACATATCCATAAAGCACAAAGTGTGCTCAAAATTACTCCTTACATCACAGTACAAAGTTTTTTGCAGAATAATTTATGTTTTGAGCAAGTGATGGTGAATGTAAAATTCATGACAGAGGTTACCCAACATATGTTTTTTCTCTCGTTAGGATGAAATTTTTACTTATTTAAGTAAAGAACGTATATTAAATTAATAAATTTTTTTAATTTGACTTTTTAGTTTAGGATGATTATAATTGCCACAATGATACAATGGGTTATGTTGTGAAGATACAATTATGTGATAGACCATCCAACCCAATATTGTAAAAATTGAAAAATCAGCTTGTTTATAAAAAATAATCTAGTTAGTTAACTTAGTGAGAGATGACTTTTTTTAAATTAATATTACTGTCATATGTCTGTAGAAATACT